TTACTATTTATAAAAGAAGGTAAAAGACAGAACCAGTATGTAACTATAATACAGGTTAAAAAAGTATTCATGGATTCATGTGCAAAGTGGACCACTTACATAGCACTTAATCAGGAATTATCATCAGTTACAAATTCTTAGAATATTCACTTCTAAATCAGAGACTGACCCCAAACAAATCTAGCTTATGAGTCACACTCCTTAGTTTAAAATTACTAATGTGTTTGATCAAGGTTCAGGACTAGAAAAACAAACTGAGGAGTTGGGGTAATTCAAATTTTAAAATTGATCAGAAAGGAGGACAGCTTGTGAATCTCTTAAGCATCAGTATTATGTGCACTGATATATACAGTAAAAAACAAAACCTGAAGATATCACAAGAAATCAGAAAATGTGCATCAATCTTATATGCATTGAAATATGCAGTTAAAAACAAAACTGAAGACATCACAAGAAATCAGAAAGTGTTTAAAACAATGAAGGCATATGCCATTCTAACTTTTCCTTCCAAAATAATGAACATAAAAATATCAAAGCTAAAAATACTGGAATGTCTTTCTGAAAATAAACACAAGAAGGGATACAAAAAAATTATCAAATGCAAAATGGAGTAGCTACTGAAGAAAAATATGTCTTTCGTAGGAAAAGGCCAGCTATTTTATTTTCATTAAGAAATAACATTTCAGATACTGCTATTTTTTTTGGCAAGTATTACTAATATCTGTATCATATCACACAAAAGACTATAATTTCTAACTAGCAATTTTCCTTGGTATTTTCTAGAAATTATAAATTCAAGTGGGTCAGATGTTATCCTTAGCATTAATAATTCTGGTTTTTTTAATTTCTTTCTCTACGGCAGTGTTTCTCAAGCAGAAGTATCCATCAGAGTCACCTAGGGATCATTCTGAAAATATATATTCCCAAGTGCTATCCCCCAGAGAATGATTCAGCATGTCATTTCACACCTCTCTTGAAAGAATTCCCCCAGTGATTATGATTGCTAGTTGAGGACCACCGCTTTGAGAGAATAGTTACCTACTTATTCTACTGACTACAAGTGCTCTTGTATGATCCACCATAGCTGAAACTCTGTCGGGCACACAGCTATCAGTAATAAAAAGGAAAACTCCACATTTCATAACTTATTGTAAAGAAAAAGTGAGAGACCTGGTAAAATGTCCATTCAAAGAACATGCAACCATACTTGAAAATACTTTCTATGTATTTATTTTAAAGGGTACATTTAGGACAAATGGTTTTGAAAATGTATAAAAATAATTCATGTATTAATCCAACTTCTATATTGACATGGTCCCTTAAAAGATTTTTATTATGTCATCATAAAAATGTATTGCAACAGCTTCCATAGTACTCTCAAAAGTCTGGAATTTTAAGATTTTCTAATAGAAAAATTTTAGTATTTCCCTGCAGAAAAATAATAAAACTAGGAATGATATCAAGGCTACATTATGTCTCAGCTATCTATCCTATACCACATATCATAAGAATAATCTTCACACTTAACTATAATAATCGCAAGTGCTGGTATATTTGTTTAAGAACAAAGCACAAAAATATTTCATAGGAAAAAAATCTCATCGTAAAACCTTACAAAGTTGAATGCTTCAAATAAAAATATCTGAGGGTTGATTTCACAATATCAAGTTTTCATATGCACTTTGTAAACATATACTCATCATAGACTATCAACTATCAATTATCACTAAAAGAAAATTGTAAAAAAAATTCAGTGCAAAAATACATACCAACTGAAGTTGTTATCAACTGACTTAAGACAATTTTAATATAAAAATCACAACCTGAATCCCATAATATAAAGTGATCCTATAAAGACATTAAATTAAAAATAAAAGGCTCTACAACAGTGATCAAGTTTTCCTTTTGTTACTATTCTCTAGTAAATGCTTTCTTTTGGTTAGCTTTTACAATGTCATCAGGAGATGCTGACTTGAAGTCAAATGGTGTTATTGCTACAAGAGGACTTAGTTCTTTGTCCTTTATGTCTTGAACTTGTCTACTATAAAGGAAAGTCTTATAGAGGTCAAAGGTGCGTCGCTTGCAGCTTTTCAGTGGGTAACGAAGACACAAAGTTGAAGCAAAAGCTGAAGGTCTAGCAGCAAGGGCCTTGGTCCAAGAGAGAGAAAAAGGTGGTTTCCTAGTCAAAGGGCCTTTATTGTTTTTCTTATTATCCTTAGGAAAATTGGAATTTTTCCCTAACTTTGAACCTGGAACTTTAGTTCCTGATGGTGGAGCAACTGACTGGTCTATTAAAGGCTTGGGAACAAAATCTGCGGTTTTTATAAGGACACTAAGATCAATATTTGAATCTATTCCAGAAGACCTCATTTCAGATAAACTGAGGTCAAAGGAATCTTTTGTAATCGGAGAGTTGTCTACAGCAATTGTTTCTGCAATCAAATCAGAAAGCGACAAATTCTCAAGGTCTCTTGTGGGAGAAGCTTTATGAAATGCCAAAGATGACAGAGATCCTGTTAACTCTGATATTCCAGCTGAAGACTGAGAGCGATTTGCCAGTTGTGACAGGGGAAAGGATCCCAAACTTAAATCTGTAAAACTGGCAGATGACTGGTTACAAAGATCAGATAAAGTAAAGCATTGGCTTAGATTGTTTTCTTTGTGTTCCTGAAACAGTTCAGCTAGGGATGGATTTTCACGATGAAAAAACTGCAAGTTGTCAGTATTTAAAACGTAATTCTTGGCATTTTGTTCATCTAAAGAAACACTTCCAATTTCAGTCTTTTTATTAGCATTTAAATTATCAAGAGTTATATTTTCCAAAGAGCTAGTTAAGTGCAAAGAATTACTTGAACATCCTAAGCTGTTTTGTACTGGAATGCTTTGGAAATCAGATAGTGAATTATTTTGAACAAATAAAGAATTATTTGGTGTTGTGCTCTTTATCATTAAGGACTTTAAATCTGGTATTTCTTTGAATGCAGGATCATCTTTGGAAACACATTCAGATGCATGAGGTCTTAACAAATCAGCATCTAGGTCCTTTGAAAGTAGAGTTCCCAGATTATCTGTGGATGATAACCTGACTGATGGCTGACTTTTACAAGGATCTCGTGGTATATCATGAATTAAGTCAGCTAGTGAAAAGTCTTTTGTTAACTTACATGATTCTAGTTTCTTTTCACTTATAGGTCTGTCAAGTTTCTTTTTTCTATGATGTAAATAGTGACTTGGAACTGACGAATTATGATATAATCCATATTTTGCTACTGAGCTAGAAAAATCAAAGGGTTTCCTATTGCAATCCAAATGATTTGCTGATTGAGGATAAGAACTTTGAACATTATCGGCTGAAATGTCAGAGGAAGAAAATAAGACTCCTTACCTTACAAGAGCCATTAATTTTCAGATGAATAAGTAGACATATGCAGAAGGCAGTCACCGCAACCAAAAGGAAACATAAATGAGGCATTTAATTACTAAATGCTTTTTGATTATGACATGAAAAAAGTGATACTTGATCATTATTAAACATTAAGTGAACACTCAAAAACAATAATAAGGTAGTATTACCTTCCTTTAACACCCTAAAGTAAACTTCATACTTTGCTCACAGATGAATACAAATTTAAGTAGCAAGCTAGTCAATGTTCTAATTTTCACAAGTTTAATAATGTGAGGTTTTAATAGTAATTAAATTATAGTCAAGGTTCAAAACTTTAGTCGAATTCAATACTTCTTAAAATAAAAAAAAAAAGGAAAAAATCAGGTTCATTTCCTTCTGTATTTTAATGCACTAAGAACAAACAAACAACACCCTGTCATTTCTACTGCAATCTAAGAAACACTGTAAGATGACAAACTTATTCTCATAATGGTCAGTTACAAGTACGCATGTGTGCCTCCCCACCTCTCCCAAAACACTCTTATTACATGGTAACAGACTATATCCAACCTTGCCGTAGCAAAAATCTAACCCACAGGTTTCGGGAAATATTGACATAGTGAACAAATCCCCATACTCACACTGACAGCCATCAACCAATTAATATAATGGGACTAGCTCAGTTCCCTTTATGTCCACTAAATTCCAAATTTAGCTCTAAATTCTACAAATTTAAAATTAAATATCTACATATAAAATGCAAAATTAGTATAATTATGATACTCATATTTAATAATGAATAAAATGAAATTATATTTATACAAAATATAAGAATAAAGGAATTTTTTTAGCATTAATTGGCTGGCTATTCATTTCTATTTCCTATTTCATTAGAGTTAAAAAACAACAATTAAAAACTTTTCTAAGCTGTTAGCAAGAAGAAAAAAATACCTTGTGTTGTTTTATCTAATTTTATTCCCACTGTGTTGTGGTAGATATGAAAACAAGTAATGAAATAATAAAAAACAAGCTATAACAGAAGGAAAGGAACATAATACTCACCTTAAAAATTCACAAACTACATGATCAACTGATAATTATCAAGAGTTAACAGCAACATGCAAGATTTTCTTAATAGCTGGAGCAAATTAAAGTTTTTTATAAAAGCTCAAGAAAATTAAAGCCTCTCTTTAAACATTATGTAAAACTAAAAGAGAACAAGTAAAGGCATACCTTTTTCTATCCTTCCTGTGGATACTGTTTCCTCACTCTTGTCCTTCAAATTCTGCACATTATCTTGTTCCAGAACCATAGACAAAGCCTTCTGCACATCAAACTTGTTCCTCAGAACTGCTTCAATCAGTATTTCATCTCGCACAGCATCACCAAGTACCTCTCTCATGTGATCAAGGCATGAATAAAGTCGAGCTAAAACAGACAACAGTGATCAAAACTACACTAAACGGTGCATGAAAGAACTCTCCCTCTTCAAAACTGAGAAAGATATTCAACTCTCCTTTCTCCTTGGCAAAAATTATTTATAATGATCATATTTTGTATACAGTATAGCTATCTTCCCTTAGTATAAGAACAATTTCATTCAGAAATCACTAGAATTCTCCTGATTCTCCTTCCCATCAGATCAGAATACTGGTCTTGGTGGTCATAAAAGGAGGAAAAGTAATACCGAAGCTGACCTCACTATGCTGTAGTGTGGTATATAAAGTGTGGGCGAGTTGCAAACAAGGTAAAAAAAAAAAAAATTCACTAGAATACATGCCTACTGAAAAACAATGACTAATAATTTTTAAAAATATAGGCTCAGCACCAGGAGCACAGTGGTTAGGGCGCCAGCCATATACACTGAGCCTAGCAGATTCAAACCTGGCCTGGGCCTGCTAAACAAAAATGACAACTGCAACAAAAAAACAGCTGGGCACTGTGGTGGGTGCCTCTAGGCCCAGCTATTTGGGGGGCTGAGGCAAGAGAATCGCTTAAGCCCAAGAGTTGGAGGTTGCTGTGAGCTGTGACGCCACAGTACTCTACCGAGAGCAACACAGTGAAACTCTGTCTCAAAAAAAAAAAAAAAGGAAAAGAAAAAAAAAATTTTCAGTATAAATTATATACACAGATAGCTATTTTCAGCCAATGATAAAAGTCTCTTGAATAATTCTGACTAAATTGCACAGTATATACTAATGACAATTTTCAGTCACCAATGATGATGATATCTGCACTGATCACTTGTCACATGTGCAGAAAAGAGGGGAGAGTGTGGTACTATTTCTAACTCATTAGTGAACCCAGTTAATCTCTAAGGCTATTTCTTACTCTTAAATTACTACTTTAAGTTTTCTTTTAGGCTAACTTCAGTTTTTTCCAGCCACCTAAATCACCCTAATGGCTTTCAAATACAGGAAAGATAATCTAATACAAAAGTACCATAAAAATGAGGCTGTCCATGAGGGTGGCACCTGTGGGTCAAATGAGTAGGGCACCAGCCCCATATGCCAGAGGTGGTGGGTTAAAACCCAGCCCTGGCCAAAAATGGCAAAATAAATAAATAAATAAATATGAGGCTGTCCAGTATATAAGGATATTCATTTTAAAAATAAAAAATTGAAACCTGCAATTATCTAAACTATTTGCGGATTTTAATTTTCTGATGACTGTTATTATAAAAAGGTAATTATTATTTAATTTTTTTTGCAGTTTTTTTGGGGGGGGGCTCAGGGCTGGGTTTGAACCCACCACCTCCAGTGTATGTACCTAGGGGCCAATAAATAAAAATGAACATATTCATTTATATATTTGTCTAACACTTGACAATTTTCTTTTTTCTTTCTTTCTTTTCTTTTCTTTCTTTCTGAGACTCTTTCATAGAGTCTCACTATGTCACCCTCAGTAGAGGGTTGTGGCATCACAGCTCACAGCAACCTCAAACTCCTGGGCTTAAGCAATTCTCTTGCCTCAGCCTCCCTAGTAACTGGGACTACAGGCACCTGCCACAAACACCCAGCTATTTTTTTTGTTGTAGTTACTGTTGTTTGGCAGGCCCAGGCTGGGTTTGAATCCACCAGCACCAGTGTATGTGGCTGGTACCCTAGCTGCTGAGCTATAAGTGCGAGTCACACTTGATAATTTTCACAGAACTTTCATATGATTCCTTTCATAATCCTCATAACACTACAAGCTAGATCTATAGGGTAAATTCTAATTTAATTAGAAAAAGCATGGTACTAAGTTAGCAATAATCAATACAGAACTTAGGCTTTCAGACTCTCTACTAGACAAAACCATTTCACAGAATTCAATTTTTTTGGCTGGGCACCTGTGGCTCAAGTGGCTAAGGCACCAGCCACATACACCTAAGGTGGCAGGTTCAAATCCAGCTCAGCCCACCAAATAACAATGATGGCTGCAATCAAAAAATAGCCGGGCTTTGTGGCAGGTGCCTGTGGTCCCAGCTACTTGGGAGGCTGAGGCAGGAGACTCGCTTGAGCCCAGGAGTTGGAGGTTGCTGCGAGCTGTGATGCCACAGCACTCTACCCAGTGGGACAGCTTGAGGCTCTGTCTCAAAAAAAAAAAAAAGAATTCAATTTTTTTAATTTCTAAATATTAAGGGGGTACAAAAAATATGGAATGCTTCATAAATGTACGTGTCACTCTTGCATAAGGGTCACACAAATCTCTGTATCATTCCAATTTTAGTATAGGTGCCGCCAAAGCAAGCACAGAATGCAATTCATATTTCATTGTACATCCTTCCATGTTGAATAAAGACTCTACTGGGAATACTCTTCCTTCTTTAAAAAAAAATCAATACTTTTTTCCATTGCTCTAATTATTAAAAATAAATCTGTTAAATATTTGGGTCATCTGGCTTTGATTCAATCCAAGATTAACTTTAAAAGGTTAGTAAGCTATACTCAAAAAATAATACCTATTTGATAAATACATAAATTACTGAAACTGGAACAGAATACATAGTATAGGGCCTCTTCTAATTATAAGAACTATTTTCTACACATACACAAAGAGGCAGTGTACTGAGGGGGCTACAACTAGAGGTTATGGAATTAGACTGGCTTGGTTCACATCCTAATGCCACTTACTAGTGGGTACAAGTAACTGCTCAGGCGAGTCACTGCTCTGTCTCACTTTCTTCCCTTGTCGTGAAGATTAAAGATGCTAATACCTAAACAGTATGTAGAACAGTACCTGGAGAGTATTTAGGGAAAGCTAACCACAATCATTATTACTGTTATCATGCAATTAACTTACATATACACACCAGGTTAGAATGATTAACTTTCATTCTCAAATGTAACTTTAAATTTTATAACTCCTTAATCACTGTCCACTAAAGCACAGAAGTACAAGACTTCTACCCTATTCCTACCCTCTCAGCACACAATGTTAACTATAACAATTAAATACTATTGAGAACTTCACACTACATCTCATCTTCAAACTTTTATCCAGGGTTTCAACTGTATTTGCAGAATTAGTAAATAAATTCATTCTATTTCTTCTGTATCTGTTGTCTGCCTTGCTGCTTTCTAATTTTTTATATTTATGCTTTCTCTCCATTTTTCATCATTTTAGCAACTGATATGTATTTTATAGATTTATTCAAAGATCAGCTCCCAGATTTCATAAATTTCTTTATTTTTAAATTATAAAATATCAACTTAAAAACATTTATAGAACAAAGCCATACTCTAAACCAGTGATCTTCAAAACCTCCTAATGCTGCAACCCTTTAATACAGTTCCTCATGTTGTAGTGACCCCCAACCATAAAATTATTTTTGTTGCTACTTCATAACTATAATTTTGTTACTGTTATGAATCCTAATGTAAATATCTGATATGCAGGATGTATTTTCATTGTTACAAAGGGGTCGCGACCGACAGGTTGAGAACCGCTGCTCTAGAGCAAATTTGACTCAGCGGTGCTCACTATCAACAGATGGCATTACCATTATACCTGACCATTTTAGATCAGGCCTGATAAAGGAAGCAATGTCATGGCCTGATATGGGAAGCAATGTCATGTTTGAAAATTACTTATAAAAGAAGAAAGCAAAAATACAAATATCTTTGTTAAAATGTTTAAGAGAGTACAATGTACAAGTTCTACCTTGAAACTTAATTTACACAGATAATAATCAGGATGCTTGTATAATGTTACTCTAGACTTCAACTTTTTTTTTAAACCTCTTGGGACCTAACATCTTTCTAAGTAAAAGAGTTTCTGTATGCTAAATATAATCTCTAATTATAAGAGTTTATTAAACAACAGTCTGAAAAAGTTCCTATAACAAATCATGCAAGTTTTTCTCCTATGGAAAAAATGAAAGACTAGGATAGTTTAATCAAAAATTCTAGTTACTAAGCAATAGCCATACTTAGTACAATTTTTCAGCCATGCCGTTACATACATACGTTACACAATATACTTAATAAATTTTTCCTGAAGATGTAAGACATGTTTTTATCATTATACTTACTGTTATGAACAATCACAACAACACTGATAAATTCTGATGAATTTGGTTGTTAATCATCTTCAGGTAAGAAACATAAATATACTATTTTTTGCTATACCTTGATCAATTCCACTCAGTTGATGGTTCGAAAGAGAATTGGAAGACTCTTTTAGATCTTCATAATCGTATTCTTCTACAGGTTCAACAGAAGGTTTATCACGTCGTGAATAAATAAACTGAGCAGCTAGAATATAAAATGATCAAAGGATGCTGTAGTATAGCCATTTCCCACTAACCTTTTTTTTTTAAATAAAAGTTAAAGTAAAAATTAAAGATTCAGATCTAGCACCCATAGTCAGTTACCCACATTCCATAACAATGGGTGAACACCCTAAGACAAAGCATATCATACTCAAAAATCCTGGTCAAATGTCCAAATGTCCTTAACTAATTTATTAACCTTTTATAAACTTCCTTCTTTCCCCCAATCTCTAAGACCATTCTACTGAGCTGACTTTCCTAGACACTGTTTGCAAAAACTACTTTTCCTAACATCTCATCCCTGCCTACTATTCTGCATTCCCTGAAATTTTCTCCTTCGGTACAAATATCTCAAACCATATATGAAGCTTACTAATTTGCACTATTAAGAAAAAACTAAAAGTGTATTTGCATAATTAAGAAAAGATTAATTTTCACTTTCCAAGAATTGATAATTTTGCCTGAATTCAGGAGTTCACTGAAAACACAGGCCTTAACCTTTGAATGATTCGTAGTTTCAATCATATACGGATATTACGAACGAGTGTCATATACTTAACTTTGACTCTCAGATATCTATGCTCCACTGCAATACCGGCAATGTGTTTCTTACATATAACTAAGCCTTATATACAGTAAAACCTCCATTGTTGACTACCTACTTACATTGACCACCTCCTTAAGATGGCCTACTTTTCATAGACCAGACATGCACTGAATGCACATTACCAGTTCAGCAGGCCTAGTTCCCAATATTGACCAACTCTGTATGTTGACCAGTTTGTTACAGTCCCTTGGGTGGTCCACTTAACAGAGATTCTACTGTATTTTCTTAAAGGGAGGAAAGACAGATGGTCAAAGTGCCAATATATGCCTGAGAATCATAAATAAAATACAAGTAAGCAAAGGGGAAAATCAAGGCATGCCCAAAGTATTGACATTTCCACATCTACCAGATGGCTATAGAACTCATTCCTAGAAGTTATTCAATTATGATGGAACAAAATTAAAGAAGGACAGAAATATAATATTCATAAGGCAAGGTATTAGTTGGGGGGTTATTAGCTTTCTGTAAAAGCACAAAACACATTAAGTCCATGGACTTTTGTATATGTTACCAGGAAGACCTTATTTGTTCAAAAAACTACATTCAAAATTTACAGATAGGGCGGCGCCCGTGGCTCAAAGGAGTAGGGCAGCGGCCCTATATGCTGGAGGTATTGGGTTCAAACCCAGCTCCAGCCAAAAACAGCAAAAAAAAAAAAAAAAAAAAAAAAAAAAATCTACAGACAGTGCCTAGAATATGAAGCTCTGGCCTATATGTAACACTTAGAAGGCCACAGCATAAGTCCATTCTAATCATTGTATATCAATACCCTTAAAGATTAGCAGAGAAGACAAAGAAGAAAAACGTAATGACATATTTTAAAAGCCACATGAGTAATACAGATAATAAGTGCCGTGGAAGCATAGAAGATTAAGTGGTCAATGAAGATTGAAGCAGTCCTGACAAAGGAGATAAGAACATGGGAAAACCTGGGAAGTGGAAGAGATCCTGAACAAGAAAAACAGAGTACAGCGGTTCTCAACTTTCCTCATGCCGCAACCCTTTAATACAGTTCCTCATGCTGTAGCGACCCCCAACCATAAAATTATTTGGGTTGCTACTCATAACTGTAATTTTGCTACTGTTATGAATCATAATGTAAATATCTGATATGCAGCATGTATTTTCATTGTTACAAAGGGATCATGACCCACAGGTTGAGAACCGCTGACAGAGTAAGAGAAATATACAGCAGCTGGCTCAGCACCCATAGCTCAGCAGCTAGGGCACCAGCTACACACACCAGAGCTGGCAAGTTCAAATCCAGCCCCGGCCTGCCAGATAACATGACAACTATAACCAAAAAATAGCTGGGTGTTGTGGTGGGCACCTGTAGTCCCAGCTACTTGGGAGGATGAGGCAACTGAATCACTTAAGCTCAAGAGTTTGAGGTTGATGTGAGCTATGACGCTACTGTACTCTACTGAGGGCTACATAGACTCTGTCTCAAAAATAAATAAATAAATAAATAAATACAGAACAGCTGAGATAATTCAATCTAATCCATAATGCATGCTTCCTGAAAACAAATTAGTTCATACTAATCAGTAAACAGCAAAATGATGAACGTATAATGCTGAAGATGCTTTAGTTTCCGAAACTTTTCTCTCAATACTTCAACGTTGTACATTATCATGTAACAGCAACAGGCAAAACCACACTGGAATATTACACTGTAATTGTACTGCACTACTCTGTTTTGAGGGTCCTTACTGACTACCTCTCCAAGATCTATGAGAATTTTGCTTTTGCAACATTATTCAGTTTTAAGCTTTTCTTACATCTCCTTCTATCAAGCGTTCACCTTTTTAAGTGTAAAGTCCAATATTTACTAAACTATTAGAAGTTAATGTATCTTAATAAATGTGCAAACATTTTTACTAAGATGACTACTATTTTTGTCAGTACTCTATAGTTTGAGTGGTCTATCCTAATCTTGACTCTTAAGTTATTATTTTTAGCACACAATTTTAAAGATCACAAAGTTTTTCAGGAATGCATATGCTATATTGTATAATCCCTAATGTGCCCCCTCGTGGGAAAGGAGACAGTAACATTGCTATTATAGTCAGCTTGGCTAACCAGCAGAGACATCCTATTTCATAAATTTTCTAAGAGGACCACTTTTTTTTTACATGTTAAAATCTCAGAATTAGAGATGTGTCTTATAGTTAAATGGCATCTTAGCATTATCTAACATTTAGTTTGGCAGCCTTTTGTTTTAAAGTAGTCCATGAAATAATATGCCTTACAATCCATGGCATCTTAGATTTAATAAAATGTAGTGGTACCAAAAAATAAAAATTGGGCCATTTTCCACTTGGTGATTTACAATTGCTTTAATTTTAATAAATTATACTCAGTTTAGCCTAA